TGAGGCGCGCAGAGCCTTCATGGGCTACAGGGAAATAGAAGATTGAATGAATTGAGCTGTACATGCAGAGAGGCTAAAGGTCAATTATTGTAAAGCTAGCATTAGCTGTATTCATTGGCCCTAACCAGTCGCCAGGCAGGACTCCAGGAAGTTACAGGTCCCGGAAAATAAATAGGCTGGCACATTATCCACCATAAAACAGATTAAACAAACAAGTTCATTTGTGAGCATTAAGTGCGTGTGCGTGTATTTGGATAGCTTTGGACAGAGACAGGCCAGCTGTTTCCCACTGTTTACAGTCTTTAAGCTAGGCTAAGCTAACCGGCTGCTAGCTGTAGCTTCCATGAGAGTGGTATCAATCTTCTGAGAGAAAAACAAGGAGAACCTCATCTATGATGGAGAACACAATGAAGCTGAAGAACAAAGACATTGGATGTTCTGCTTATAATCTTGTGTGACACGCTAACCATATGCACGTGACTGCTGCTCATACTTAGATACAGTAAACACATCCAACACAAAGGGCCGACCTCCTTTACGTTCACGTCGAGTAGAAAACTTTTCTTCGTCTTTGGAGAGCAAGTTGGACTCGAAATAAGGGTCACGTGCTGATTGTACTTTAGGCAACATGGTTTTAGGAAAAGTTTCATTTTTATGTGGGGACAGCAGAGCAGCAAAGAGGAAGTTTAACCGTAATATTGATTATGTCATGAGGGTTTTTCCCTTTTTTTGCAATATGGAAGAGCCTAGAGAATAACATGAGTTGAGGATTTAATGCTGAAATAAGGAAACTTTGTTTAATTTGTGTGTGTGCATGTTACCATCAGCAGAGTCTCCAGCTCTCTGAGATAAACCTCCTCAGTCTCCAGGATGCCTTTCAGGACCACGAGCCTCCTCTCCAACATTTCCTTCGGGTTGCATAACGTCTGAAATCACAGACATTCAACCCTTACACCAAAGCCAGTCTCAAAATACGGGGTCCAGACAATTCATTGGTTCAGCGACACTGCAAATGCCGCAACAGTCGACGTTAAGGATGAAAATCTAAAAGATGAAGATGACTTGGCAAATGACTTTTTGGCAAACAAAAGGGTTTTGCTCATGCATAGACCATACAACACATACAACATTTACTATCTCCTTATTTGATGTAATAATAAAACTTCTGTATTTTTGCCAAGTCATCAAATGTGGGTTACTTCTTCACCACTTTTCAACATACTGGGGTCAGAAAGAACAAGGAAGTCAATATCAACAGAACACAACGGTTGGATTTTTGTATTCGGTTTTGTTTCCTGTCTTTTTTTAAATGCATTTTCTGATAGCATGAAGGTCCGAAATAAGCTGGACATTGGAGAGTCTATGACTCCATGTATTGTTTTTTGTACTATGTGGAATTCTTTAAAATTCACTCAAATGTAGGTCGATGGACAGCCAATAGATGAGAGGACTTTTGTAAAAGATGAGGTATAACTTGAGGACCTGCTAGTAGCTTTCTTCTTCTCTACATATAGGATCCCTCTCTGTTTTACTGGTATGCCTATCATCAAAATAAAAACTGTAAAGTGAAGGAATGCAAACTCACGGGGGTGTCTGGGAAGTCTAAGCCCTCGGAGAGGAGAGGAGAGAGCAAACAGGACACTGCCTCCTCCTGGAACACGTCGTCTTCCAGAGCTTCAGTCTCCGCTTCCACTACAACCGACACACAAACACACACAACACGTAGCCTGTAGTAGTAGTAGTATGTGTTCCCGTATCTGCTTGCACGCCTTAAACATTAATGTTCCTAAATGTACAAAAAGATAGCTGATCTTTGACTGAGGTGGTTTAGAGAATATCTTTCAGTTTTTTCCTAAAGTAGAGAATATATAATGCTTTGTGCATGAACCTTTTTCTACACATGACAAACACAACGTCTCCTTCCCTCACCTGGTACATGCTGTGACTCCAGATAACGCAAAGCCTCCTGGTAGACGTCCATCGGGGGCTCGGATGTCCTCCTCAAATGCCCGCTGAGCTCTGGAGACGTAGCCTGAGAACACACTCAGAAAACTTCCTCTTTCTATGACGGGTGCACAAAAAGGGGAAAATACAAGCTTCCGTTCTGTCCGGTAAACGCAGATGAGAAGTGGCATCTGCTGCTATGATCCAGTCCCACAGTTGCACTTCACTTCCTGTAAATGAGCCGATTTCATCATACTGGTTGCAGAGTGTTTACTATCAAATCTTCACAACTGCATATTCCTTCATCAGTTTCTGAAATTATGACTTGAACTAGTTGCTATATTACTGTACCACATTTTAATTCTGACCACAGCCTGCAGGGCGTAGTTTTTAAGTCTTAAAAATGTAAATGTATTACTTACATGTGTAAGTAATACACATGTAAAGCACATTAAAACACTATATAGTTTAAGAGTAGAGTGACAATCAGTCTCAGTAATAAAATTGAATAGGACCTACTGCATATTACCAGCTAATGCAATTCACATAAAGTAAATATAAAAAGTACACAGCATAGCATACAACCTATGGAAATGTAATTAATAGTGCTTTCTGAACCTGTCACCCCAAAATCATCCAATCATTTAAACCGAGACAAATAAATCTTATGTGTCTGTATGTTGATGTTCATTGTTTTTATAGTGCAACGCTGCCCTCTGCAGTGAAACAGATGTTAACACGGCTTCGTTTGTGCTCCTTTCATTCTTGTGTTTTAGCCTAATTAGTTGTTGTCGACACAGTTCACCATTTTTCTCTTTTTTTTTGAATTCTCACTGGACTGACGTGACATATGTACCACCACCACAGCCCTGAGGCGCTCATTCGTTTCCTGTTGGGGCATTTAGACGGTGCCACTGCTGGTTGTGGTTTGTGGTGTCATGAAGCCACATCTCCTGTATGTGCTGACACTCTCTTTAAGGGCAAAATATCTTGTTTAGCCATGATGACCAATACGTCACATTTAACGACATAAAGTTGAGATCTATTCACATTTTTGAAGATGTGTTACAAATGAATGATTGCATGATGATGGCATTTTGTGTCTACATCAATTATAAATCAAAATATGTTCACTGAAAAAGCATCATTGGTTACTTCGATTTTATTTCTGTCTGGTGTTTATTTGTGTGAACAAGCTGCAGTCTTGTGTTTAGAGCTTTGTCTGTAGTTTACATGGATGATGGATGGTGCTATAAACCTTCAATGATTTATTTTAGCCACTTGGGGGCAGTAGAAACAAACCTTTTAAAGATGTGCTGGTGGCAAATAGTCTTCCTTATTCACATCCAGGAGTTATGGAGCAACATTAGCGATCATTAGGAGTGTGGTGTGTGTCCACCTTATGGAGTTAAGTTAAGTTGTGTATGTGAATCTAATTCAATTAAAAACTAACTTTTGCCTTTATGTTTCCTTTCTGTGTCTTAAGGGATTTGGGATTTATTTTGTCATTTATGCCAAAGCAGAATATCTAAGAGGAATCTCTTTTTTAGGTTCATGAAACCAAACAGATTTTTGATGACTGGGTTATTTTAACAGAATCCTAACCTGTTTCTATTTTTAGAGAAGAATCCGACAGACGTCTTGGACCAGGATTACATGAATCTGAGATGAACAGGCAACAGGAAAGGCGTTAGCAGGAAGAGTTTTTAGTCCTGTTGATGACATAGTTGACCCAAGACAGACTCGACTCCCCTTCGAGTGGGAGAGTCCACAGAGAGAAGGAAGAATGTTCCTCTTTCCCCTCATTTCCTCCCCTCAGTCACAGCTGCAACTCCTTAGTGTTTCAAACGGGGAAACTATATCAGGGATGAATATAAAATAAACGTCACAAACAATCAATGTGTGAACTAAATTTCGGTGCAACAAATCCATTACAAACGGAATGTAAAAATAGTCATAAATCAGTAGGAAATGCACACAGACTGAAGACTATTGAACTTCGGCCGCAGCATACAAAGGGAATAATTGCATTGCACACGTTGAGCTGTATTGTCCGCGTGTCCAGATTTGCAAATGCAAATAGTTTCTGCCTCGTTAATGATCTGAGTTTCACTCCTGTCCTTCCTGGGAGAGGATCCCTCCTCTGTCGCTCTCCTTAAGGTTTCTTCCTCTTTTTCTCCCCCTTAAAGGGCTTTTGGGGGAGTTTTTCCTGTACCGATGTAGAGGATGTCGTATGTGTACAGATTGTAAAGCCCTCTGAGGCAAATTTGTGATTTTGGGCGATACAAAATACATTGAATTTCATATTTAGCAACTTTAATGATAATATACAACCGAGGAACTAAGCTAAAGAGCTAATGGTATGGACTTGGTTTTGATTTTACAACAAACTTTTTGTTTGATGTATTACTTTACAAAAATAAACTTCTTTAATTTTGAGATTGATGAATCTGAATACAACGGTTGGTGATATTGGGGAACATGGTTACTATCTGAGAAACTCCTATTCATCTACAACATCCCTATTTGTTAGTTTAAACTTGGGTTCCTCTTTGTCATTTCTCTTTGTTGCACGCTACCCTTTGAAATATGACCTATCATCAAAACTCGCATATCAAAGCGCTGAGTCAGCCTCTTACTATTCAACCTAATTGATGTCACACATTTGTGTTTGCTTAGTGCTTCAAACATACAAACTAAATCAGGGACGATCCCATGAACATAAATCAGTGGGTGGAAATTTCATAGCAACCCATCTATTAGTTTCAATCTCAAACATGCTGTGCCAACTGAACTGTTAGTCATGATTTCGTGCAGACATGTTGCAGAAGTAAAAGCAGTGATGTAGTGTAGGTTAGTCTCTTCGTTATCTGTCGTTGGGTGCTAAAGCAGGTGTCGAACCAACACGAGGCTCAATAACCGCCTTTATAAACTTTCACAAGGTGAGAAAAGAGAGAAACAGCTAAACGTTTGTGATCAAGACTCAACTGGAGAGTTTCAGCTGGTTGACAGAACAATGTGATTATGTTGAAGTTATGCAAGATGGAGCTTGTTAACTGAAACAGATATTGTTTTATTGGCCAACGGGTCTCAAAGGTCAGACAAGAACCTGAGCTATCATTCAGTATGAAACATGTGATGTGTTGACATAGTATTCCACTCAAAGCTTCACAGTGAATCTCAGGCTTTGAACAGAGATGTTAAGTCTCCAAAAACAATCTATTACAAATGGCACATCATTATTATAAAACATGTGGTTATGATGCTCAGCGCTAACTGCTAACTGTTGGTGTACATATGATGCTGCTGTGCTTAAATATACAGCTTTGTGGAGGCATAAGAACATTAAGAATACTAACTAGTAGGCTACAAGGCAAACATGTCTTCTGGCCTCAACGGGCGTGTCCTATCCACTGATAACTTGTGTGGTGACCACTGAGGTGTGAGCCCCCTGGTGGCCTCTGATCTTCAGCTCACGGTTCATCTGGCACCACACACACGGGTAGCACCAGTACAACTTACAGCAGTCTTCACAGCATGAGCCCTGAGAGAGGGGGGGAGAGAGAGAAGGGGGGGGGGGAGAGGGGGTAAATCCAAATGTTGGTGAAATGTTACTTATTTACAAAGAATTTAAAAAGCACACTGATAATATTGCATCTATTTTCTGAGACTAAATGAGCCTGGCTGCAGCTGAGTGGCTGCAGCTGAGTTGAGTAGTATTAATTCATATTTTCTACCACTGGAGTTGGTGGAAACAAATTGTTCCAGCAGACAGATATGAAGACACATTATTCTCCTTTTAGCTTCACTCTGGTCTTGAGGTTGAAGAGCTGTGCAGAGTGAACTACAACATTGTCTCGCTTTTGACCGAAATTACTCGAAATTTGCTTTTTACACATTTTTATAAAACTACCAAAAATGAAAACACAATTTCTGGACATTTTCTGCCTAAAATACAATAAATAATTTCTCCTAAAATAATTCCTTTCAGTCAAACCTTGTCAAACGTATTGTGTCATGAGCTCTGTAATTTGAGCAATCTCAAACAATCAGTTGCTAAACAAGCTCTCATATCAGCTGACATTTCAAAGGACTACAGGACAAGGCTGTAAACTGGAGGGTAAATTGATATTTGATGATGTTTGTATCAAACCATGACTACTTCATTGTGTGCTTTACCGAGGGAGGAATGCTCTTACTGCAATGCCCTTAACACACCCCCGGCTCTTGTGCACATTCTGTATAGTGCACAAGTCCACTTAAAGAGCAGAGGCTTCTCCTCTGCCCTCTGTATCGCGCACGGCGGAGTTACGCCCCGATGCACACACACACACAGACACACACACACACGTGCGCACACACAGGTGAGCACACTCCCACCAGCGGACAGAGAGCGCGCGTCGGAAAATATGTCGCGTCAACCAGTTGAAAAGCAGACAACAATATCTGCGTTTTTTTAAACACTCCCATGTGGTCAAGATGGCAACACTCGCTCTCCTGCGAGTTAGCAGCCGGAGTAGCTCTCCTGCTCTGGGTCCAAGTACAGACAAGAGCCCAAGTGCTGCACACCCCGGTCTTCCTCACCAAGTCCACCACCGCGCATCAGCGGTTTTGCCCTCCGCGGTCTAACTTCGGTCGCTCATGAAGAAGTGATATTATTGCACGGATTGGACGGCATTAAACCGGTTTTAAACGAGGCATCTCACGTTACCGCCGTCTTCGAAAGGGGAAATGAACGGCGGCGTATTCAGTTGGTTGCAATCTAGATGCCACCAAATCCTCCATATTGTCCCTCGAATCCTGTCTCTACAATGGCATGTTCAAAATCACACCAATGGGCCTAAAGGTAGGAAACAACTGCTGTGTGGTTGTAAGCAAATATGCACATTGACTAGTGTTTAGAGACAGGAAATTGAAGAAGTGTGGCATCTGACAGCTGCACAGTAACCACCTCAACCTCAGCTTTTCTTACAGGATATCATGGGTAGTTTCTACTCAGGAGCTTACTCACTTTCAGTTCAATGTTTCGCTGTGACTCGAGACATTAAACGATCCCACACTTTACCTTTATGTTACGGAGAATAAAACTCATCAATTACTACATGGAGTGATTTGTAGAGGAAAGACGAAACTCACACTCACTTCAACGGTAGATTTTGCAAAAATTACAAAAACCTAAATTATTTAAATGTTCTCACTCACATCTAGGGGTATCAGTGGTGGCTAGAGTTCAATTGACCCTTCGCTAAACCCCGCCCCTTTTTCCTCCAGCCATAGCCGAAACTTTAAGCGTGCACCCACTCCCCGAATGTAACCCCCCTCTCCCTAAGCTGGCCTTACAGGGATGTTGTGGCGCTCTCTGATGGAGGAGCGGAGTAGGCAGGACACCACACAGCAGGAGTCCAGGAGTGGCATGCAGCAGCACCAGCCGAATTTACTGGCCGTCTGACACTGCATGCAGGGGAAGCACCAAAGACCGCAGCAAACTTGAGGGCAGAAGAGCAGAAGGGAAAAACAATATATGAATTCTGACTTTATGTGCTGAATATTGTGGCTAATATTGAACATCTAACACTCCACGAAAACTCACTGCACCGTCTGATGAAAATTGTGTGAAATAATCAAAAGCTCCAGAACAGCTAATGGACCTCGTGGTGAGATTGTTTTACTAACAGATGCCGCTCTGCCTCTAATGTTTTTGATGGAACATTTAAACCACAGGCTGACGACCGCATCCTGTTGAGCTAAATGGCAAAGATTGCTGAGCAACATCGTTGTGGGGCTGACTTACAGGTGCCCATGTCACTGCAGCAATCGCACAAGCCAGTGCTCCATGAGCCGGGGCTTTGTTGTGCAGTGGTCATCATTGTCACCACGTGGGACGGCTGCTGGTGGACGACGGCCATGTCTGGAGGATACAAAACAGAAATGGAGAAACTGGGAGGGGGCACAGGGGACTTGTCTGTACACACTGGAATCGCTGGTATTCTTATGCTTCGTTAAGACAGGTGCATGCTGGGAAAGGTGACCGCACCTCTACACTCATACCCCTATGACCATGTCTTTATAATCTTGCAATCATATTCCTTTGGGTTAGAATTAGTTAATGTATCTTCACAGTCACACATTCATAAAGCTATGAATGGTCATATCATGTAAGTTCACGCAGAAGCCTGCAGCAGTGTCGCCCAACGCTGTGTCACAAAGGAACAAGATGTCCTTTGTGCAGACGCTGCCGGAGGAACTATGGAACACATACGAATGTGTAGTTGAGGTCAGGGGTTGAGCGGAGTCATTAGAATACAAATGGTTGAATGGTACAAAGCCTGGGACTGAATCCAATCAACTTCCAGTCTCTCTTGTGTTCTGTGGGTGTTCGCTACTGACTTCCTTGAGTGAGAATCCTGTGGTTTACAGTATTTCTGCCTCAAGGTGTTGTGGGATATTTAGCTTGCAGGACACGCGTTCTTGTATGGTTACTTTATCCATTAGCAATATTATTTCTGAATATTATGTAGTTCAGGTGTCCTTGTACCTTAAAATGTCGTACAGTAAGTCAACAACAAATATAAATGATATCTAATACCACACAATCAATGCAGTTAAGATGGCCACCTGTTTGTGCATATACTTTGTTTGCACAATTTAAATACTTTATAGTAAACTTGAATGTATAGTTCAGTCACAACTATATAAAAACCAGTTGTGTAGCATTAACCTAATTAGCTTAGCCGTAATATTTTGCTCATGTTAGCTCTATCAGGTTTGGCACTTCCAAGTTTCAAATAAAACCTTCAAACGCTAACTTTTGAATATAATTTATTTTCTGAAACCTAACAGCAGCTCCAGCGAGCACGAAGTATCTCTTCCTGTCATTCCGTCACATATGAATCACAAATTCATCGTGGGCAGTTTCAGAAAGATTCAAGCTAGCTAGCTAACATTGGAGCTAAATTCAGAAATTCAAGCTAGCTGCTGACATGTGCTGACTATTTAGGGTCAATTATAAGTTTTCATTTTTGACGTTATTACCATATTATTTGGCAATTTTCCTAACCGAATGGACCCGTGCTCAGTTTTTAATTCCTTACAAAAAAACTGTTAATGCATATTTGGTTAAATTAATTAGGATCAAGCTAAGCTAACATTCATTTGCCACTTAGCTGACCAGCTTTACCGTTGCATTCCTTGAAGTTGTAATAAATCAGAGTGAATCATTAAAAAGTGTGACGCAGGAAATGATGTGAAGTTACCCATTGCTCTACTGAAACGGCAATGTAGCAAATATAGCAGTCAAATAAAATTGTGTTTTATATAAATGTTTTTTTTCAAATACGACTGATAGTAATTGCGATTGTACACTTTTTTTTTTTTTGTTTAAGGAATGAAAGCGATTGTACACTTTTTTTTTTTTGTTTAAGGAATGAAAAGTTATGGTTAATGTGGTCAAGCTGTGAGCTAGAACAAGAGGTATGAGGAACTCAAAGCATCTCGATCTTTTTAACGTTAATTAAAAGTGCTTTATCGGTTTTTGTCCCTGCAACTAGCAAGTGTATTACACCTCATATTACATTGTTATAAGCTCCCTGCAGCCTCAGCATCAGTCAAAAAGTAATTCTTGTTCTATTTACGCTAAAATAAAAGACTTTTTCTTACCTTTTATCTGGTTTCCGTGAGCTGTGTAAAGAATCAAGAGTAGGTTCCGTCCATTCAGCACCGAGGTGCAAGTGTGTGAGTCAGTTTCTGTTTCTCGGTAAACCCGTCCTCCTCTAACCCTACCCACACGTGAATCGGAAATAACAGCGCAAGGTTAAAAAAAAAGAAAGAAAAAGAGAGTGATGACAAGTCTCTGTTGAACCAACAAGCTGGAGTTTGCATCTGACATGTTAGAGCGGATGCAAGTGCATGAAGATGCAAACTAACAATTTGCATGAGGAACAAAAACGAAGCAGACCACTCACAGTTAAGTGTTTTTAACCGCCATTGCTACTGTAGAAAGCCCATTTAGTGCAAGATTGAGACATATAAGATTTAACTGTGCTTACAAATGATGAAAGATAATTCAATTTAATAGATGCAATTTAGGTTATTACAAAACTACTCCCTGGGTAAAATGATATGGGCATGAAATAGCAAAGAGGAGGATTTAGGATTACTATTCCTGAATGGCTGCTATACTATGAGCAGGATTAATACTGTCATGCTGGATCAAAGAATAAGATATGTCAGAGGCAGTGGTGTGTGTGTGTGTGTATGTGTGTGTTATATTCATATTAATATTACAAGAGGAAACACATCCTGCATCTGAAAATCCCTCGTCTGGCTATAATATTTCCATTTTTTGTTTTTGCGTACCCTTTTTAAATAAAATGACAAGTGACATAAACAAATATGAAGTTGAGGGCAGGTGAGGACAGCCTGTTGATGCCACCTGCAGGTCTGTGGATTCATTGTAGAGAGACAAAACCAAAACATACCATACATCATACATCAGTTTTTGTGAGGACATGTGTGTTGCCGAAAAAAACCTTCTGCACATTCAACAACAATAAACCCTGGTTTACTGAAAAACTCAGGCAGCTTCGTCGGGCCAAGGAGGAGGCCTAGAGAAGTGGGGACAGGATCCTGTATACCAGGCCAGAAACACATTGACGAGGGAGATCAAGGTAACAAAGAGGAGCTACACTGAAAAGCTGGAGAACAAGTTTTCAGCCAACGACCCCTCGTCAGTTTGGAGAGGCCTGGAAGTACTCACCAACTACAGGACACCACCAGACACAGGAACAGCTTCTTTCCACTGGCCGTCACTCTCATGAACAATAAATAGGTAATGTTGCACTACTACCTCTGTTTGCACTATTGTATTATATATATATACACTTTTTTGGGGGGATATATTTATACTTATATTGTATATAGCTGTTAAATGTCATTGTTTTTCTTATATTTCTCTTGTTTATTGTATATATTTCATGTGTGTGTATGTACGATGAGAGTAATGTGTAACCGGAGTCAAATTCCATGTATGCGCACGCATACATGGCCAATAAAGCTGATTCTGATTCTGATACGGGACTGAAGCTGAGGACTCACCACGCCATGCTAGCAACCCTGTGAGGCTGCGGAGATTATTACACAGGACAGGTGAAAAATATAGTTTGGCCTGACAGTGGCACGGGTACATTACCAAACCGGTTCAGGCTCAGGTGTCCAAAGGGGTCTGGCAGGGATAGCCCCAGGGCCCGGCTCCTGTCACAGGCCCATGGACACCCAAAGAAAATCCCACACAGGTGGTTTTGATTAGTCTGCCTGATTAAGGTGTCGGTGTGCACACACACACTGATGTCTCCCTCTACTGCCCGGCTTTGATGCAGGACAAGTGACAGCTTTACAATTCGTATTGTGAGAAGGAGTCCTGACACCATAATTAATCATAGCAATTTGATATAACCTGAGCATGTTCTATTGATTCTCAATAAATTCTGAATGCAACCCAGTAGGCCTCTGATTGGCCAGCTGTTCCTGCTCACACTAGAAGGTGGCAGCATAGTACAACACATAACAGCTGTCTGTTATCCTGTCACTGCTCTGTGGGTAGAAGGTGAAGTGAAGGGTACAAATTAAGAGAGAGAGAGAGTGACAGACAGACAGAGAGAGAGAGAGCGAGAGAGAGAGGTTGATCCTATTGAGTCAGTCTTCAGTGAGACAGCATTGAGAGAGGATCATGCGGCGGACAATCTCTTTATCCCATCAACTCCACTGGCAACTATCATCTTCATCATCATCATCATCAGCATCCTATAGATCCAACCGATCCCAGTTGAGGAATGATGTCAGCAAACAACACCACTGGGTCAACACAGGTGGACGACTATACCTGCGTGCGCTTTTACGTGTCCACCGTGTCCTTCTCGGTGCTGCTCTTCTTCAACCTCGTCATCAACTGGACCATAGTGCGCGTGAAGCGGCTCCGGAGTCACGCCCGCTTCGTGCTGGTGTTCCACCTGCTGGTGTCCGCCCTGGTTCACCTGGGGATGAGCAGCGTCTTCTACTACCAGATCCACCTGGAGGCGCGGCCGGTCCGCTCCGCGTGCCTCGCCATGATCACCGTTTTGATCAGCAGCGCCTCCAACATCCTGCTGACGCTCACGGCGATGGCTTTGGACCGCTACTGCGCGGTGTGCCACCCGATGCGCTACACCTCCGCCTGCGCCTCGGGCCGCTGGCCCTGGCTGCTGGGCGCGCTCACCTGGCTCGTGGCTTTGGTGATCCCCCTCAGTCTGCTCCTGCAGCCGGACTCCCGGGCTTATAACGGGGCGTGCGGCCGGGATCAGCTGAGGAAAGGATGGCTGCAGAAGGTGCTGTTCATAGGTTTGTGCACGCTGCTCATCATGTACAGCTACGTGCGGATACTGGTGGAGGGGCGGCGGTTGGGGGTGGTGAACCGGCGCAACCGGGCCGGGTGCAGGACGATCGCGCTGCACGGGAGCCAGCTGGCGGTTTACATCCTCCCCAACTTTGTGAACTCCGTGCTGACGGTGTTGATCAACCGGAGGCTCATCCAGCCGGAGACCAAAGAGCTGTCGGCCGTGGTTATCTTTGCTTTCTTCAGCTTTGCGCAGTGCGTTGCGCCGGTTGTTTACGGTTTGCGTAAAGAGGAACTTCTGGAGCAGTTGAGTCACAGGTTCCCCTGCTGTTCCCGATACTTGAAGAGTTTCCTCGGCTGGACTGTGCGCGCCAGTTGGCCACACACCCAACACATAACACGGTACGTCCCAGCCTCCATTCGAATGAGCCTTTACTTAAAACCAGGGTACCATTTTCTCCTTTGGCACCGTTTAATGGGAACAACTTTTGGGTTGCCAGGCTGTGTAAAACCGCACTTGCTGGTGAGTCACTAATATATCAATTGAGCATTCTGTTTTACAATGATGAATAAAACACCAGTTAATTATTTATTAACCATTAATAACAACGTGTCAGAAAATGGTATCAAAGTGGGATGAATGTCTGAGCACGTGCTCCTTTACAGATTCATGGGGAAGTTTGCATATAGGGGAAAACATACCAGTGGAAGAAAAAAATCTATTCACTTAAATTTCCACTCCTGAAGTTAAAACTGTCACATGAAGTGATATGAAATGATTGAACACAGTATAGGGGAAATACCTAAATTCCAAAACGAATAGGTTTTTTTCTGCTCATGCACAATAAGCAATAACCCACAAACAAATAAATGATAGCAGGGGTGAAGCTTTCAGAGCGATGTATCACTCTCCTCTTGTGCCCACTTTATTCAATTTGAATGTTTGACCTGAATGTCGGTTATCCAGAACACACACAGTCATTTATAGACAGTTTTTGGGCAAATATGCTCAGGGGCACCTGTAACTGTAGTCTCATATTTAATAGACGTAAGAGTGTTACCAAACAAAGTAAATACACACAGGTTATCTCCTAAAATATCTACTGCTTTAGAGGTGTGATTTGTCTCTGCTGTAAGCCTATCATTGTTTATCTTAACTAAAACACTTGTCAACACTAAACATTCAAATGCATTGTCAAATCCAAGTCCAGAAGCTAAAGAAAGTGTGAATTCAACAGCAAAAAAATAAGTAAAATCTCTTTGAAGAAGGTGATTAATGACAAGATAAGGTCACTTGATTGAAAGAAAGTTGTGAAAGTAAGTGATTTGTATATGGTTCAATATCACTATGACTACTGCTACTATGACAAATTAAATTGGGCATTTCTTGCATGATACGAGGATGATTTCATAGTAAAAATATTTCCCTTGTAAGTGTTGTACATTTCCCAACAACACCACAGAAAGGGAGCACATGAGCTCATTATAGGGCTAATTCAGATACTTTTTTTTACTCTCTTTTTTCCCCTCAGGGAGCGAACACTGACAGCACAGACGATCATCTCCCTACAGGTCTCACAAGTCCCAGAGGAGGAGAAAACGAGGCCAATGTCGGGTCAGGAGTTCCTCACATGACTGAGACGCATGTCAAGGATACTGACTTTGCTTGATGGGGAAAAAAGTAGTTCCAGGATCCTGACCACCACATCAGGAACATTTGGATAAGTGGCTCAGCTCGGACCGGAAAGGAACTAAAGGAACCGCCTTGGACACGATAATCCTGTATAAGGTTTCTTCCGCACCAGAGGAGGCTAAGATCTGATCTTGCATCATTGTCACACCATCACAAGACATCAGCACGTTGCTCTATTTGTGACCTTTTATCAGTGGAGCACTCATGCTGATTCACATCGGAGTGGAAAATCAGTGTGTCGGTGGCCAACAGCAGAAGTCAGCATGGGCTTCACAAGAAGTGGGTAGTGTTCTTCTGGTACATTTTCCTGGCTGGTCCACGGATTTAAGCATCAGGTCCTCGGGTCTCTGACCTCAAGGCCACGAACGGCCCTCCACCGGGATAGAGGATACACTTCAACATATTGTCTGGGGAAATGTTTCCACGTGTTCTTAACCTTGAGTTAATAATGGCCACTTGAATATTTCCAGCAGCACCCTTAAAACCCAGAGAGGGGAGGACACACGTGCTTCGCTTTCTCTAATTTGCTGAGAATTACATGAGAAGATCGACGGCACTCTCTAAGATCTTTATGGGGACGGATGGACAACAACGTTGTTGGTTTCGAGTATCAATAAGAGCAAAATCAAGATGATTGATACCCAAAAAAAATGGATCTATCTCACGGACGATGACGTTCTGGGCACATGAACGCACAGCAGTCATCTAGTTAGTTCATTTCAACACAAAGAAAAACATTTATTTAACATTAAAGGCATTTTTTCACATTTTAACATTCATGTGATTAAGTAATAAACAAAATAGTGAGGAAAATTTGGTGGTAATTCAATATTTTCAGAGGTAAACAAATGACACATTTCTCTCCACCTGATACATCAGCTGCTCTAAATAATAAATGACAAATATGAACATCAATATCATGGTCCGGCTCTGGTATGTATTTGATCAAAACCAAACTAAGCTGAAAGGGAAAAGTTGCCATCTTTTTTTGTGTTTGTCCAATCAGTGTCGGTTTTAAATGTAGTGGATTGAAGTGCGTTGTTGAACAGTTGCTGCTGAGCTCGTCAGTTTGGTTTTAGTCAGATGGCGAAACACATTCTGGGGAAATTCTCAAAGCTTGAACCGCAGCGCCTGTGAGGAGCCAGCACCGCCCTCACCATATCTCAGTCTCGCACCCAGCAGCAACACTTAAGTCAAAGTGCATACATGTGAGCAGGATGGAGGTTCCTGTTAGTTCAAATGCAGTTAAGTGTTAATACCCTGGAAGAGAGAACTGAAAGCTATGTTGCAAGTTGTTGTGCTTAGAACAGAAACAGGAAGTCAGTTTTGTGGGAAGGTGAGTAGAAATGCATCAAACGGGGGTTTTCGTTATCTATTTTTTGCCGAGTTTCATTAATGTTTTTACAAGTTACAAAAGCTTGAACAAGGAGACACTAGAAATAAATATTTAAGAATCTGGACTTTACAGAGACAAGAGTTGTTTTGAAACTATATTCAAGAGACAGGGACACAGACAGATGAATAGATACTTTATTTATTAGTCCCAACAGGTAGAACCAAAAAGCTCAAAGTAGATCTGCACAAACAATGACTCCAAACAGTCGAGTCACTATCGGATAACACAAGAGGCATTTGATCACATCGGTTATTCAAGCACGTAACCAACTTAAAAGCAGCAGTTTGTCACTGTACGAGTTACAAAAAGGAAAGAATGTGCAGATCTAGTTCAAGTTTTATGGTGGCTTTGACAGCAGATTAAAACAAGAAATGACTTCTTTAAAGTACCAGGTATGTAGACTAACAGTTAATATCTTATAATTACAGTTAATGATGCCCGATTATTAACTTAAGTCACAAACAGGAAGAGCATCTGCAGACCGGTTTCTAAGGCGAAAGGTTTTTGCTTCTGAACGTTTCTGTGATGAGCACTGAGTGAGATAAATTCACATGCAGAAAGTACATAAAAAAAACACACTATTATATATACATGTGAACACAATTCAGGCACGTGTAGAAGTCAAATTGTCATTTGAGATACTGGTGTGCATCAATGAAAAAAGCTAAAAACAGATGAGTTCCTCTGTTGACTGACCTCTTTATCTCAAAGCTGCATTTATTTTCCCACGAACAGACAAAAATAACATAACGGGTTAAATGAGATCAGATACAGTCATGAAGGCTGAGACACAAAGTAGATGCTGTGTTTAAAAGCTCCATGCACACACGCACGCACGCACACACACACACACACACACACACACACACACACACACACACACACAGGATACATTCAATCACCAGCTGTTCTAGATACAACGTGGTCATTTGTGAAAATACAGCTTTTTCTGTCATATTGAATCATTCTTATTTCATATAGATTCAAAATTTCAGCCCAAACTCTGGAAGTCTCGAGTCGGCATTAAATAAATAAGTGACAGAAAAACCAGTTCACAAAGACGCCTCAATTTGATGACAATCGAGATACGAGGACGCCGGTGTGTGATGGAGCGGTTAAGGCGATAACGTCTTAAAGAGAACTTGGCCTACAGGAGCCTGAACATGGCTAGAGATACAGAAGAGCGACGAAGAAGCAAACAGAAGCGTACGGGGGGGGGGGGGGGGGGGGGGGGGGGGGTTTAGAAGCCCAGAGGGTGAGGAGCCACCACTCCCCCGTTCTCCACCACGGCAGCAGAGATGGCCCTCAGGTTCCTGAAGAGATGTCTGGACTCACCGGAGCTCAGGCTCTTGATGTTACTCATGATCCTCTCGTGGGCCTGAGGAGCGGTAAATAAAGTTGTTTTAGAGTTACTAGATAAAAAAGGTACAGCCTCCTCATATTAGACATTTCTGTCAGTGTCTCTGGCGTTGACTGTAGGATCTTACCTCCACACACCAGGTCTCACACAGCATCTTCTCATGCTGAGCTGAGGCACTGCCCTGACTCAGAGAGCGTGAAGCTCTGCAAGAGAGAGGGAAATAAAAACACACAAAAGAAATGTTAGTTTAGACCACAGAGAAGCTGAGTGGGAGTGTAACACGAGAGAGTGAAACTGGGACAGAGAAAGTCGGAGACAGAGTTTGCTAATTATTCTCTCGTTTTAATGTTTGCATACCTGGACAGGACCACCACCATGGCGTACAGGTCGATGGCACAGTCCGCCACTCTGCTCAGGACAAATTGTTCATCTGCAACAGAACGAGTCGAGTTAGAGATCGAGATGGTTTGTTTCGAGGAGAAGCATTCCCAACGTCTGAAATGACGCCAAACCTGCACCAGTTGGGGATTTTTTCTTCTTCTTTCTACTGAACACCCACAGGGTTTCCTCTCACCTTCACACACACGCACACACACTCACCAATGATCTTCTTTCCGTGTTTGATCAGCAGCTCCTCGGTGATCGCTCCAAACTGTTCGATGGCCTTAGTGGTCTAGAAATAAAACGTAAATCAAGAATCAAAAAGGCAACAAAGCAGAAAAGTCCCCCCCGTCATATCATGAGCAAATCATAATTCTTACAATAGAAATGATATCGCACACAAGACAAGTTTAACGCACCAGTTCTCCGCTGTGGGCCAGCTCAGGATGTACGGTTCCCTGCAGCGTCAGACCTGTGCTCAGACCGGCCTTTCTACAAACAACAGAAGAAGAAGACCGTGTTCTACATACAAGTATAAGAATGTCACAACATTGGAGTTATTATGAAGCCAGAATAAACAGCACAGCTTCTCCTACCACAACAACACCTGGGCATTGTGCAAACACACTGTTTAAAACTGAACATCTGTTCAGCCTGAAAATGAGGCTTAAATACGTCCTGTGGACAGCGTGTCACACTTACATTAGATCTGTTCCCTCTTCAAACTAGAAGCACCATGTGGTAAAATCCACCCACATCACTGTTAGAATTCTGTCATATGTAATATTTTATTATAGTGTGTGTGTGTAGTAACGCCCTAACGCAAGGAATCCAAATTTCACTTCACTTCACAGGTCCTTGAAGGCAGACTCGAATCAATAAATTGCATCATGTATTGTGCATCGCAGGAGAAGTCCCCATCTCCCACCGCTGAGGCGCTTTAACACTTCATGTCGTCCCTGACCGGAGGAGACAGAGTGAGAAGTGAGAGTGAGACCAAACCTTTTGGCTCTCTTGGTGAGTTCCCCAGCGAGCAACCCGGCGTTGCTGATGGGGTTCTTCAGGGCCTTCTGTAAGCTCTTCAACTGGTTGCCAGCGTTCTGGAGGGGACAGACGTGATTCATCAGTGTCTATTGCTTAAAGTGCCCGAAAACCTTTTTTCTTAAATCAGCTTAAAAGGGATTCAAAAACACAGATCCTTGGTAAGTAAAAGGAAGTTGCTTCATGATCACCGGTTGGTAAACCCACAAGACTCCACGACCAGAAGCAGGCAGAAATCACTTCCTCTCTACAGAACCTCTGTGCTTTCCCCCACAAAGACATCGTCGGATCACAAAGTCTGAGAAAGAAACGACAAAGACGTTTGATTTCACCTGGAAGCCGTTGAGCGCCACGAAGAGCCTCAGGATGTCGTTGGTTCCCTCGAAGATCCGGAAGATTCTCAGATCCCTCATCACTCTCTCCACTCCAGCGTCCTGAGGAGACGGATTCACAAAGATGATGATGATATTTGCATATTCAGCAACCAACATGAGGCATAAGCTGTTATTTATCATAACTCGCGTAGAGATGACAGTTTGCTGTCAGCTTCTCTCACAAGTTAAAATTAGGTAGCAAAAACAACAAACAGGAACAGAGACCATCTACAGTATATTCATCTCTGTGTTTTGAACTGGGCATGTGCAAGTCACTGCTCACATGTTAAGGATGCAGGCGATGTATTTAGTACAGAGGAGCAGAAATGGAATCGTCAAAATGTGCAGTGTGAGCAGAACTGAGCAGAGACTGGTGCTGAATGTTCCCCTCTTCCTGTATTTAAAAAGGAAGAGGGGGGAATTATAGCGTCCTGTTCCGTTGTTGAAATGTATCTTCGTGTTTTACAATAAAACTATTATTTAAAAAAAGAAAAAAGGGGAGAAATTCACTGAAACATCTGTACATACAAGTGTAATTCGGAAGCTTGAAATGTTCTAATTCTGTTGAAATCTTTAGTCGACGCTGGAGGACTTTTTGAGATTCTTAACTTCTTGGTTGTTTTTTTACCTGAGGAAACCAAAAACTGTGTCTGTGTTTTCAGAGCGTGAGCCAACGCATGCAGCAACCACACATGCAACGGTATTTGTCCCGTGCAGCTTCTCTGTGGCGTTTGAATGAAACAGGACGTGGACCGAGCACTCACCTTCATGTAACCCATGCCACCCATGACCTGAACGCACTCGTCAGTCACGCTCCACGCTGCCTCCTGCAACGAGTAAAACAAACACAACCGCAGATCTTCTTAAATCAGGAAACAAGCACAGACACAACCAATTCCTCCTTCTACCACTCACAGAAAGAGGAACGTCAGAAGTATTTTTAAAAAGAGGTGCTGTGTTCCCCCAGAGCACTGACGAGTGTACGAAGTTAACAGTTACAATAAATGAAAAGTAGACGCAAAAGTATGCAAATACTCAATTATAGGAACTATGAGCCCCTCCGGTGTTCATGTTCCACCAATGAAATCTTACAGAGGCAAAGATCTTGCTGATGGCCGCTTCTATCTGGAACTCCTTGGCTCCGCTGTCCATGTTGCCGCTGATCATGTAGGCCATCGACTGCAAAGAAGACACGGAAGTAGGACGTCAAGCATGAACTTGTTCAGCACCAATACACGATGGTGCCAAAGTGGTTTAATTTGTGGAGAATTTGTGCTTAAAACATCTTTCGTATTCACGTTGGCGTTTGTAAAAACAGGAAACACCACTTGATGTTGCTGTGATAAATGTTGATCCCACTCGACCGACCTCAGTGACGTACTGCAGCATGGTCATGCGAGCCATCTTCTCCTGGATGACTCCATAGTTGTGGATCTTGCTCCCAAACTGGGTTCTGTTGGCTGCGTGATCCACCTGATGGAGAGAGGACAATGGCGACACGCCTTTAATACATCGCAAAGAGGAAGGTTGGCGAGCAATCTTGTAGCGGAGCTAACCCTAACTGGCGGCACCGAGGCTGTTGCTCAGCGTGACCACACAGTTCCTCTGGTTTGCAAAAGACAACGCCACAAGGTCTGACAATGAACAAGTGAAGAGAAAGTTATGTGTGAACAAGTGACGAGGTGTGACCTTTATGCCCGCATGTTGCACGTGCACGCAAACACACATATTTCATTTCTCTAAACAACAGACGTGACCAGAGCACGTTTTGAATCTTCAGCGCCTTTAACCTCAGCAGGAAATTGCTCAGCAGAAACAGGCCGCGCTGAACTAATAGAAGGGAAATTTCCTACAGAAAACCACAACAAAGTAAGCGCACTATCGAAAGAGAGGGCTCTTGCCGTCTGCCTTCACTCACAGCTTGGTTGATGACTCCCTTCATGGTGCCGGAGAGGGCGGCCGCCATGCCGAAGCGCCCGTTATTCAGGATGTTCATGGCCACCTTGAAGCCCTCGCCCAACTCGCCCAGCAGGCAGTCGGCTGGCACGCGGACATTATCAAAGTAGACCTCGGCTGTGTTGGACGCCTTGATGCCCATTTTCTTCTCTGGAGGGCCACTGTGATAAAGAATATATATATATACACATCATGAGCCCAAAAAGTGACATGAATCCAGTGATGAACAAACAATCTAAAGAAAAGATGTGCTCACCTAGTCACTCCTCCAAAGCTCCTCTCCACCACGAAGGCAGAGATCTTGTCCTTCATCTCCCCGGTCTTGGGATCCTTCATGGGCGTCTTGGCGAACACGGTGAAGATCTCAGCCAGACCTCCATTGCTGACAAGAAGAAAAAAAAAAAAAGGGGGGGGGGGGGGGCGCATCAGATTTGGGAAAGACACAATCAACTTTGAGCCATCCTGTTGAGTTACTTGTACAACGTCGCCCCCATGTGGTGAAAAGAACTGTGATCATGTACGCCGTGTCCTCACCTGATCCAGATCTTGCTCCCACTGAGAGTGAAGTACTGCCCGCAGGGGGACTGGACAGCTGTGGTCTTGATGGAGGCGGCGTCGGAGCCGCTGGCTGGTTCGGTGAGGCAGAAGGCCGCTATAGTCTCACCTGGAGGTCCCCACACACACACACACACACACACACACACACACACACACACACACACACACGGAAATGATAAATCAGCTCTACATTCTTCATCAGAATATGTTCCTTCTCAATCTAATACGCGAGTATGGACCAAAAGATGCAGGAGTGTGTGCACTACGCCTCCTGGTGTGGCTGTGTTTTGAAATCCAATGTAGTCGTACATGGTTTTGGTCTTTTCATGGTGTTTGTAATGAAAAATACAGAAGGAGAATGTAACGAGTGGCGTACCCGTGGCGAGCTTCGGCAGGTACTTCTCCTTCTGGGCTGGATTCCCAAAGAGCAGAATTCCCTTGAAGCCGATGGACTGGTGGGCGCCCAGAGTGATGCCGACGCCGAGGTCATAGGTGCCGACGATCTCAACCAGCCGGGCGTACTGCAACATCGAGTTCATCGCGTTAGGCGCACTGCACTTGCCTGTTTAGCTCGACACAATAATATCGTGAAACAACCATTAACGTAGTCAAGCAGACGCACCTGTGTGTTGGAGAGGCCGAGGCCGCCCAGGTCGGCCGGCACCTGCAGGCCGAAGGCCCCCATCTCCTTCAGGCCCTCCATGGTCTGATCTTCCACCTTCTCCAGGGCATCGTTCTTGGCAGCGTCGTTCACCTCCTGCTCACAGGAAGCAGAAACACACAGGGTGATGGGCCGAGCAGAAAAGGTTTATGTAAAAGAAGTCGTGAAAAAGTTTCAAATTCATCCAACGACATTATTTGAAATTACCAGAAAGAATTTGTTGACGGGCCCCACGAGCTCTCGGAGAAACTGCTCCTGCTCTTCATTCATGACTGCGACAGACACACAAAACTTATTGTACTTCATTTTAATGAAACGCTGACATCGTTTCAAAAAGATGTGAACATAACCTCCTCAAATGTACCTGAGGGGTAGGGGAACACCTGGGCAGTCGCAATCTGCCCCTTGAAAATGTTGACAGCGTATGATTTGGATTCCTGCGGAAAGTTACGTCATTATTACTGAAATAAACATTTTGGTAATTTATTTTGACACTTTGGATGTGTTGAGACATCCATGACTGTGTGCGTTAAACCTAAACAAGGTGCAATTCCTAAAGAACATACTTCATAGTGCTACAAGAGGTCAAAAAACTACACAGGGTACCTTTAATTCTTAAGACGTATTCACAAGTTGATGTGAACCAACCCTGGCTAATCAGGTTTTTTGTTTAAAAACAATAACACTATCACGAATAAAACAATTCTATAATAATAGTAACTGAGAATTAACGTACAGCAGCAACCGTCGTATTTTTCACTTTAGTGGCAGTCTCACTGCCGACTGCTGCCTCCTTCTCCAGCACCGCCTGAAGAGAGAGAGCAAAACAGTTCATCAATTCAGTAAAAAAGTAATAAAGGTGAGGAATCGTTCACTGTACCTGCATGACAACATGGCTGGGACAACAACAAAGATGCGATTGTAAGGCAGTGTGCCGTTAAGCTTTGTTAATACATTCAGCGATTAGAATCCAGTGTTATGAGACAAAGAAAACATGAATTAAAGTTATTTTTTCTCTCCATTTCCAGCCAGCTGATCTCAAGCACTAAGTGGGTGAGAGGCGATCCCAAGGACGCCACCAGACAGCTTAGTCCCCGAGCAGCAGCTGTACTCTGCATTTAGTCTTTCAAATGGAAAACAATGGCAGTTGTACGTCATTGAGTTTTTGAACGAGACGCATTTGTTTCTGAATTTGTGATATACTTGTTCTCATTTAAAATAACTTTTTCCAAGTCGGCTGTCAGTTGACTGAACAACTGAATTCTATTTTGGCTCATACATACCATGTCGACCAGGAGTCATGACCCAGCTGATAAGCTGATAAAAAGCATTATTTATAATGGTTAACGGAAATAGTAAACAAAAATATGAGTTATGTTATATAGGAGTTTGGTTATACGGACGTTTTGGATAGACACTTTAGATACAAGTCAACTGATGGGCCTCAATGAGGATTATTAATCCAAGTTATTTAATGTAGAATTTGGGAGCTATGGTTTGTGACAGCCCCTCCCTGATACTCCTTCATAGCCCCTTTGTTCTATTCTTGGTCAATTCTTGTTTTGAGATGTTCTCTGCATAGATTTTAAGTGTGCGGATATCTATTCTACCAGTTATACGGATATTTAAAATGTAAATGTAACTCCTGAAGATCAAACAGGGAGAATCTTCAACTGCTACACAAAGTAAGAAGAGCATTTTGTGACATATTTGCCCACTGTGGGTATGCAGCAGTAAACATGGTCTGAACCCTGTCTGGACAGCAGAGAGTCACCCACATCCACGGTGTCACCTTTACGAGTCACGCGACCAGTGAACTTTCCCCCACTTCCAGCAGGAGGGGGGGGGGGGGAATGCCGACGTTATGTCAGCCATCCACAACAAGGACAATACACACACTCGAATACATCGTAAAACACACAGCATGTAAAACACACATCTGACAAATAGTGGGTATGAATATGTTTTATAATGTTAGGCCTATATGTGTCCCTGTAGTGTTTCCGAACCTCCGCAGCCTGGCTCGCGTAGAGACGGTTGTTTTGTACCGCAATGACGGCCCCGGCATGTCGCTGACCTCTGAAGAACAAACAAAACAAATAAAGGATAAGTGGATTTAACTTGCAATCTTTCGTCCAGAGACATGTTCAATAATGGCTTCAGAACGTTAGCTTTACGTACCCAGACAGCACGGGAGGAATCCTGAGAATGGAGCCGCACAGCGCGGAGGACCGGCTCACTTTACGAAGCAGCATAGTGTTCTTTTGTTTAACACACAACAAAAATTAACAATTTCACAAAGTTAACAAAGTTCAAATGAACAAACAGATTAGCAAACGTAGACAGAAACAAGTGAGAGCGACGCTAAGCTAGCCGTTACGTCACGACGTTGGTTTGATATGCAACTTGTCCAGTTTTGACTAAAAGCATTAAAAAACATAAAATGATTGTATTCTTTCCACAAAATAAAATCGATATTACACACCGATAAACGTTGGTGTAGATAAGTCCGTCCAGTAACTGACTGTTCCTCCAAATGACCCAATGTATCACGTCTCGCCGGAACTTGTCTAGCCGCGGTGCTTCCTGGGATATGTCGTTTTATGATACATAACGTCTGTTTACGTAATCAGTTTGCATGCATAGAAAAAGTGTGTTTGCGTGACCTTTTTCAGTGTTTGTGAAACGGGTGCGACAGAGAAAACTCAAACATTAACATTACAGACTCACTCAGAATAATGTAATAAAACAGTATATTCAGTTAAAATAAGTAACAAGGTCAGTCAGTCATTGATACAATAACCTGTCAGCAGCACTTATCTTTAGAAGTCAGGAAAAGTTTATAGAACTTAAGACGTAACTGCAGCCTTATGAATCATAAAAATTGAAACAATATTCTGCTTAAAAAAAAAAATAAAAAAATTAAGATCAGCATAAAGTATGTGCACCGTGTCTACTCGTCTGACACATTTAGTTTTGTAACATTTTGAATGAATAATGAAGTCTGGACAGCATGTAAGTATCAAATTTATTCTCAAGTACACAAACAAAAGGTGGCGATATGAAATCAAACAATGACACCGTCAATCACTTTTTTTTGAAATGTTGAATCTTCATTTAGCACCTTAATAGTTCGGTTATACATGATTTATATAGTCATACAAAAAAAAAAAAATGAAATGGGTGAATAAGGCAAGTCAGTTACATGAAAATAAGCATGGGGGCATTTGGATCACAGTTACTTAAGATATACACTGAATGTAATCAAGAAGTACCACTCTGCGTTTTTGTATGCACGTATTAGTACCGACGACTCGGCCTAGACAGTGATTACTAAACACAAGTTCACCTGACATTTTTTGGACCTATTTTCTTTTCACATTAGAGCTCGCTGTTCTGTATTGTTTGCATTTACATAGGAGATATATACAGAGAAGATCATTGTCAAACAATGCTGGAACAAAAAGGAGTTATTTCATGTACCTGGAGTGTGAAAATGTCTCTAAAAAAAAAAAAAAAAAAAAAAAAAAAAAAAATGAGTAAGGCACTCAATATAGTCCCGTGCTGCCAACCGATCTGGCATGATGAACCAGATGTTGTATACAGGATTGCATCCTTTTCAAGTACGCGGTGTATCTGGCGCCCTCTAGTGTTAAACGGTGGTCCATGCGCTTCCTGGATAGACAGCTCTGACATTCATAGCTGGTTTGTTGAAGGTGCTTCCCTTCCTAAAATATTGGATTTCGGTTTTGAAAAAAGCCAGGGTGCTGAGCAGCTCTGATGGGCAATTTAAAATGTTGCACTGAAAGTTTGTTTTTTGAGGAAAAACTAGCTCACCACTGAGGTAAGAAAGTAGAACTGGTCTTTCTGGATTTAGGTTTTGGAAAAATAACCGTGATGTAGTGGATTTTAATAAGAGAAAATGTGTTGAGATAGTCAGACAATACCCCAATTATTTGTCAGTGTTAAACCCTGTTCTCACCAAATTTGTAACAAGTGCCCTTAATCCAATAGGCACTTGTAAGCTCAAAAGTCTAACCACCAGATCCGCGTCAAAACAAGTGTGAACCGTACACTACCTTCACATGAATGGTCACTCAACACCACCGAGACAGAAAAAACAACTACAACTACATGACATCCACGAAGAACTCGCTGGGGTTCCCCATGGCCAGGTGGAACGACTGGCGAGAGGCAGTCAGCTCGGGGGGCACGGCGCCCAGGTCTCGAGTGGGCGGGGCGCCGGGGGGCCCCCCTGGGGTGGAGGAGGGGAGCGCGAGTAGAGTCGGGTGCATGGGGGCCGTGGCCATCTGCTGCGTGTGAGGAAGAGCGTGCGCGGCCGCCATGGCCTGGTGCGCGTGCTGGGGCACCATCATCACCATCATGGGGTTGTAAGGAAGGATGCCCGGCGGGTAGGGAGACATGTGGGGCTGCTGGGGGATGCGGTGATGATGCGAGCGTTGGGAGGAGGCGTGGCTGTGCTCGCTAGGCGCGGCCGAGCTGTGGCCGCGCCTCAGGCTGCTGCGGGTGGAGTACTCGGATTCACTGCCGCTACCGGAGCGTGAGTCGGCCCCGCCGCCGCCTTCTACGCCCGCGCCTGAGGGGGATTTCTCCCCTCCGCCCACGGTGCTGCCCGGGCCTTTAGTGCTGCGACGTCGCTCGCCCTCGCTTCTCGTCGAGCCGCTGCTCCGGCTCCCTGAGGAGGGGGGGGAATGCGGTTAGATGAGATGTACAAAACACACATGATTCGTAGTCAGCGGGAGGATCGTGGTCTGCGCTCACCTTCACTGTGCTGGCTGCCGGTGCTGCCGGGGGCGTAGCTGTAGCTGGTGAGCTCGTGGTACGGAGGCGGCTGGCTGGAGAAGGCATGCGTCGGGTAGGGCTGATAAGGGAAGGTGTGCATCATGGGCCACGGGGAGGCCCCCGGGAGAGGCAGGGGGGCCAACGTGTCCTGGTCCGAGGCCCCACTGGAGCCGTCGTTGTCGTTCAGGGAAAGGTTGGCCATGTCTGCGTGGGAGATAAGAGGAGATGAGCAACGGGTGGAACATGTTTATATGTTGTGTGCGTTAGAAATCAGACCCAAAAACAGACAAACTAAACGTGTAGTAACTGCTGCAGTTTGTGGACACGTTGTTTTTTAATATTTGTTATGACATGATTTCTGGAGGTTCAAAGTACAGGGATGGCAGAGCAATAAAGAAATCCTTCCATAACAGAAATGTTCACGTGATTACAGCCACCAGTGTGTCCACAAAAGGCATGTGTGCAAATGTGATTACGTGCAACGTTCACGCGGACGGATCCTTTGACGTCGGCGTTTTTTTCCAGTTACTCACAGTTCTCACAGTCGCTTAAATCTCCGAAGACGTAGTAACACTGTTCGGAGAAGGTGATCTTGTTGACGGTGTGTCGGATGAAGCCGGCCTTCAGCAGGTTGCTGGCGTACTTCCTGGCTTCCCGGCGGTCCTGGAACCCCTCGATGTGGTGGAAGAGCCACTCCACTACGTCCGAGCCTGGTGGAGGATGCATAAGATAAGGTGGAGCTTAATTCATCCCAAAGGAAATGTCAGTGACAAAGACTCACAGTATACAAAAAGCACAATATGGACAAACAGGTTATGTAATCTCTCCTCGTGATTCAGTTGCAGGTGATTCCACTTAAGCAGATGCACTTCGGGGGTTTTCCCCTTGTTCAAGTCACACGCCTTTAATAACGCCCGCCCTGTAAAGTCCTGTGAGGCACGGAAAGCTCATGCAACTAATGTACGTTTGTCTTACCGAGGAAAGCGTTGGGGATGGTGATCTTAAGCCACATGCGGTCCCTGACCTCCAGACCGGACTCTGGCGAGGCCATGGCCTTGGCAACAGATGCCATGTCAGAGTGCAGGGATAAGTTGAAGTCATCGAAACCTGGGAAAGAGACGGAAGGGCATTTTAGGGAAGCTAAAGAGGAAATGATTACTAAAGAGTTGAAATCCGGGTCAAAACAAGAAGCTCTCACGTTCGGTCTCGGTGACGGAGGAGGAGGAGGTGATGGTGCTGAGAGACGAGCTGCCCGGGAAGGGGGGGTAGACCCCGGTCATAGCCACGGAGTGGCTCACCCACGCTGCCGGGTCAATGGGTCGGATCGGCTCGTCTGCAGAAGAGAAGAGGAAAGCGCTACTGACGGCAGAGTGCTACCAAACCAAAGGGGAATAAACAGAAAGGGGGGCGGCTCTGTACTCACTGCGAGGCAGAGTGAAGTAGCCCTGAGGAGACGGGTCCCAGCACTTAGCCACCGTCAGGATGATGGGCCTGGAGAACACCACAAGGCATTAGAACCGCCGGTACCCACTTGTGTACAGACACAACGTGAAAGATATTGACTGATAAATATTAAAAATGAGGGAAAAACAGCGACTCACCCTGGCTTGTGTACGATCTCCCTCAGCACCCGCACTGCATCGTCGTTACTCATGTTCTCAAAGTTGATGTCATTCACCTTTTAAAGAGAGACAAAAGATTTGAGTTAGTCCGACAGAATACGATGATATAATAATGGGCGGATATTTTGATAATCGAATAAGCATTGAAGTCATTTCCTTGTTCCAGCTTTCTATTTCTCATTAACTCCGCCAAGAATAAATTACAACTGAACTAACATTGTTTCTAATCTGGAAAAGATCCCAAAATGGGCGTCACGATGTCTAAAAACTGAAAGCCAAACCAGAATTCAGAAAAAAGAAGAAAAAAAACATTCATATGAACAAAACCCTGCCTTTGATGTCGGATGAACCCTTTGTTCTTCCTCACCTGCAGCAGCATGTCTCCCGGTTCGATGCGTCCATCTGCAGCCACAGCTCCTCCCTTCATGATGGAGCCGATGTAGATGCCTCCGTCCCCCCTTTCATTGCTCTGGCCCACGATGCTGATGCCCAAGAAATTGTACTTCTCTGTGATGTTGAGGAAACAGTGTTAACGCTACACACGTTAAAAAAAAAGAAAGTGCAGTACAGTATTTGACTCGTTTACAGACCCATGTTGAGAGTGACGGTGATGATGTTCAAGGACATCGTGGAGTCTGTCACACTGCTGAAGGAGGAGGCCTGGAGTGGAAAACACACAAAATGACCATGAGATCCGCTTACACACAAAAAGTACTATCTCTGCGCAAACCATGTTTAAATACAGAAAAGTCTTAAGATGGTACAAACCCTCTCCAGACGTGGGGGGCGCTGTTTCCTGCGTCTGCGGTGGCGTTTAAGGAGCCTGGAGGCGGTGCTCTGCTCTGTTGCACTGCTGAACCTACGAGTGCCAACAAAGAAGAGAAACATGGCGTCACAAACATTTAAGACCCACAAAAACAAACAAAAAAAAAAAAAAAAAAAAAAAAAACTTTCCAGCTAACTGTCCGCGTCCTCCATCGCTCCCTCACCTGCTCATGGTGTCGTCATCCTCGGAGTCACAGAAGCTGGTGGTTTCCAGCTCGCTGCTCATCACCGTGCTGGAGCTCTCGTATCCCGCCAGGTGGCGCTCCAGTCGAGTCTGGCCGTTCATGCGCGGCCCTGGGAACACCGCAGACGAGAGGGAAGATATTCATGTTTGCTCACGTCAGCGTTGACAAACATTCCTCCACTTCTCGACATTCCTCATTATATCACTTATTCATTAGATGTTGAGGAGCGTGCCAAATCGCGCTCATAAAAGAGCATTTTTCTTCATTGTGGTCTGCGGTTTCTTACCGTGAGGCTCCATGCTCTCTCTGTGCCGAGGTCGCTCCCTCCTGAAGGAAACTACAGACTCCGTTTCAGTCTGGTCGTCCAAGGTCTCCACACTGCCCGTCGCGTTGGGGCTGAAACAGACGAAGCAGCAGCACAGTAAGAAACTTCAACTGATTCAATGTAAGAACTTTACCAAAGTTACATCTCTTTTTCCAGATGTGGTGTTCAGATAACCAAAAAACTTGTTTTAGGATTTTATTACTTATAATAAGCTAGTATATTAAGTAAATGTATGTGTCTAGCTCCAACTAATGGCAAAGCCACTTCTGCCACGGTCACGTGGGAACACTTGTCACATCCACAGCTGGTCACAGGCCAACATGCATGTAGCAACAAGCTAATGATCCAGTGAGCCTCCGTAGGGCCGCAGACTTCAGTACCATTAAGCACACAAATATGCTGATTACACAGGACGACAGAGAACGCCTTGTGGTTCATGATGAAAGCAAGAGAAGAAGAAAGACCCTACAATTTAAATGACGGTTCATTTTCCAGGATGAGAGACGGTGTTGTTCCGGCTCCCAAAAAAAAAAACGCAGCATGGAAAAGAAACTGACGCGGTTCAGTCTCCAAACCGCATGTTTAGTGGAGTTAAAAAAGGAAATTGTTTTAATTTGAAATTGGATTCAAAATCCATCAGGCGACCCCCGATCCTGCAGCACACGGGAGACGAGACGGGACGATGTCCAGCACTGCGGCCGGGACGGGAGCTCCTTCTGACCCCGAAACCAAACTCAAAGAGCCCCAGACGACATACTTCTGGAGGAACCAAGAGTGACGGTAAGAAGCTATTATAGTTATAATATTTAATCTGTTTTGGACACTGCACGCTCCATTCGGATTACAGTAATAGTTTCCTCTCGTTTTGAAGAAAAGACGAGAGGATCTTTATTTCATTCGGAAAGCATCTGAGACTAGACGGCCTCTTTAAAGCCGACCCAATCACTACTTTTTATGAACAATGGATCAAATGGCCCAGTGTAATACAAAATAGACATATTTCTCTCAAGCGTGGGTGAAAATGTACTGCGCAGTAAAACAATATCCTAAATACTCAACATTAAGATGTTAAACTATGTGTATAAACATTAAAAATCAAGATTATGTTTGTTTAATGTACTGAAAGCTTCTCCCAGAACACGTCAATAACAAGGGAGGCCTCAGCTGAGATCAGGTTCAAATGAGCTGTAGTGTTCTAGCTATTCTTGTAGCAACGTGATACTGGGAGTGTATGAGATACATTCAGGAAAACATACAGTATCCATATTACAGCTGTGGGAGACGCTCAAATGCTCCAGTTTTTGGGCCTCGTGATGCCCCTCTTTAGGGTAAATTCATAATAAGCGCGTTCTTTGCTTACTGGAAGGACGGCGGCCTGGAATCCCCGATGCCCCCGGTCCTCTCCGCGGGTGGGGGTGGGAGGGGCGGAGGAGGGGGCGAAGGCTGGGTCGTCGTTTCCACGGGAGGAACCGCCGCCACCGGAGGCTCCGCTGTCGGCGTGTCCGAAGATACCAACTGGAAGAGACAAAAACGGAAAGAGAGAATCCAATCTGAGATAACGAGATGCGGAGCGGAGAGAAATTGGCACAAAACTAGAATGGTGAGAGGGAGGAGAGAAGAGAGGGCGAGAAAAAAAGGGAGAGAACTGAGAGGAGGAGCGGAGTAAGATGTCAATTACTTTGACACACAAACAATGTACTCTTTTCAGACCGGCGTCTCGAGGGCATACTGAAACGCTATCCTACACTTAACCCGTCTCTCCTCATTTATATGACAAAAGTGCCCGGACACACACGGAGGGAACGCGCATCAACAATTAGGACGAACACCTAACAGCATCCAGTTACATGAACCATGAAAACACAACGCAGGGAGGGGACACGACGTAGTGACGACCTAAAGAAAAAAAAAGGGCGTATTGGGCTAAAATATGACAAAGAAGTAGTCTTTTCATGCTGTAGGTTTTGGGACATTTAATGCCCTTAAATAAGCTTTGCAGTCCCTGTCAAAATAACTCAAGCTAATGGGAGTCTGTCAGGCTGAGTCCCCCCCCCCCCCTC